GAAAATCCTCCACCTCAGACGTTCAGAGATGTAACTATCTGCGATACTGTGGTCACTCTCCATGTAACATCAATTATGCTAATGCTAGCTGTCTGTCACGTTCTCTCGTCCTGGCCACACCTCCGCTCTCTAACCCCCACAGGGTGGGTAAGATACGCTTTAATGTTTTATTGACCACAWTGCAAACCAAAATAAAAAGATTTTGTTGAATAAAACGGGAGACCAAGCTATGTGGAAACATGTACATAACTGTAATGGAGGCGCCTTTACCGAATATTCCGGTGATTTTACGGCGTCTTTTAAAAGTGAAACGAGAGCGCCACCACATTTTATAATATGATAAATGCATATTGTCATAAAATTAAAGGACCTTCGGAGGGTTAAATATAAATTAAAGCCCATTTACAGTAAATTTGTTGTAAGAACCCGACAGGCAGTAAAAAGCTGCGCTTCTCAAACATTTTATAGAAGCGATTTCTGATCAGACCACTTGTGAAGTTCACTGATCTGAGCTTTTCTCGGAACAAACCCAGGAGGGTATTTTTAGGTTTTCAGAGCGTTTAGCGTCCACGCCTTCCTCTTCTTCAGCTCACAGCTGTGAACTCACTGACGGGTGACAGCTTCCTCCTCGCCCCCGCAGCCTGACTCGGCCTCGGTTCCATCGACTCGCTGCTGCTTTTTTTCTCACTTGGTTCTGAACGCGCCCCGGGTTCGGACCTCACCTTTCAGGGATCCGAGGAGGAATCCTGGGAGGAGGAACGAGAGGAGCGGTGTCTGACGGCCGAGGAGGAGGCCGAGGCGGAGGAGGGAGACTCTCCACTGCGTCCTTTAAAAAAATAAAGTATAATAACTTAAAAAAAAGTTTCACAATAAAAATCTTACCGCTTCTGTGAATCAGCCGAACATTTAGCTGATTCCCACCAGATTTAGTGTTGGTTTGTCTCTGTTAGCAAAATATCTCTTGGACAATTGGAGAGATTTTAATGAAACAAAACAGCTTCAACTTTTCCAAACACAAGCAGGTGACAGGCATTCCTAAAAGCACGTCAAACTAAAGGCCCGCGGGCCAAATCTGGCCCTCATTAACATTTTGTCTGGACCCGAAGGTAATTTTTTTTCGTTTTTGGTTTTATGGATTCTCTTTTTCTTCTCATGACAGCTGGCCAAACTGAAAGCCAAATAAAATAAAATTGAATTTTTCCGTTATTTTTGGTGTGGAAAGAACCACAGAGAATTGATTTTAATTATCTTTTCTGTTTTCTGTTTTTATTTTGAAGTAATGCATTAGAAATGAAGGCTAATTATGTCTTTCTAAATTTAATCTTTCTTTTTATCCATTAGGTTATGTGTGTTTTAAAAGCTCCATAAAACACAAGTTGAAAAATATTTGCATTTTTACTAGAATATTATCTTCAATAAATTTTGAAAGGAAACGGCACTCGACTCGTAACAAGTTCTGAATTTTTGGCCTCCTTGTGTGACTCAGTCTGGCCCTCCTTCCTTAAATAAATGCTAAGAAATAAAAACGCAGGTCAGACTCGCCTCGAACTCGGGTTCGGTCCCGCTGCTGTAGCTGTAGGTGCTGTGAGTGCTCAGTCTGTTGCTCTCAGTGCCTGAAAAAAAAAAAAATTTTTTTTAAATGAATCAAACCACAACGTGTCTATTTTCTCTGAGGCTGCTGCTCGCGGTGAATGATTGCTCAAGTCTGAACAACAAGCAGACAGCAGTTGTCTAACTTGTCTCCGCAGAGAGACGGTAAAACAAACCGACACGACATGAAGTGTTTTACATTGAGTTTTAACAACTTTTTAAATTATTTTAAGTTTCAAGATTATATTTAGATTTGTGAAGGTTTATCAAAACCATCTGCTTTATGGAGAAAACTTTAAATATAACATAGCTGCTTGGTAT